AAGTGTGCTGAAATTCAGATGACTGCTGCATAATGACTTACAGGGGAAGGAGAAGCAGAGGGAAGCGTTTTGCTGTTGGTGGGGGTGAAGGCGTGGAAGAGCCCAACCCATAAAGTTTTCCTCACCCCAAAAAAGTTCACCACATCAAAGCAGAGCTCTGGTTTATGAAGCGGTGCCACGCTGTCGGGCCTCGTACTGAGGTCGAACAATTCTGCTTCATGAAGCTCAACTTCGCCCGGGTGGTACAGTTCACGCCAGGTGCTGATTTTTTTCCGATTCTTAAGCAAATGGCTGCTCACAATTAGGAGCAAACACCTGAAAATAGACACAGACGCTGTGGTTGCTGAGAGGCTCGGAATTTCTGCTGTGAAATTTAAGGGCATATTTTGTGCATGACTTATTGATGATTAATTTTTCAGGTTGTTGCTATTTCTTGTTACATTCACCCCATGTCGTTGCACTGTGCTGTACAATGACAATTACATCTTTTCTATTCTATTCTGTGTTAATCCACAGTAGGTTAAATGCCGTTGTTGTCATGACAGCCCGTCTTTGTTGGTAACAGTCATTTTTCTGATCCTTCCTTCAATTCTCCATCAGTAAAGTTAAACATTTTACAAAAAATGACTCGTATGGAAACAAACAAAAACAAAGCCACAGAGCGTCCTTTCCTCTGCTGCTCCGCCCTGATCTACAGCAGACTGGTTTTCACTTCAGCACCGACTCTTGTTGTGATCATATTCTGACCAGCTGACAGAGACACAGTGTCAGTAAACAGGGAGGTAAAGTGGAGTGGTTGCCACGGTGAACACGCTCCGTTTCCACCAGGTCCACCCTTGATTGGCTCAGGCCGCAGCGAGGGAAGGTAATTCTGCCAATTGGAAACAATTGTTGTTTTTTTTTTTGTTGCCAGGCGGAGGTGTCCTGATGCCTCAGCTGACATTTAAAAGCTAAAAATGTTTTCTGTGATTTGCAGAGGTGACAAGGGGCAAAAAATGTTATTATTCTTTTTGTTATTGTTGAATTGAAGAGATATTTTAAGAATAGACGACAAACTGAACAAACCTGTGTGAGTCATCTGACACAGCAGAGTTCTTATCCGTGTTTCCTCTGGGTTCATAAGAAATCCAGATTGTGACACAGTTTATGAAGGCATATTTCAACATCACCCTTGACGGACACATTACTGATTAAACATGATCACAGTCAGGTCTCTGGAAATCCCCATTTCAGAGGCTTCCTTTAATCTGATATCTGCTGACCTATTGATTTAGAGACTCCCTCCTCTGCTGACGATCTTTGACCTGTTTCATCAGAGGCCATCTCCACGGCTGACGGCTCAGCTGGTTTCCTCTGATCTGTGGCGTTTAGGATCCTTTGTTGGACTGATGTCAGAGTGAGAGTGTTCCTACAGAAAAGTTTTTTTACATTAAGTTTGTGGGTCATTCTGCAAGGAGCAAAAAAACATATATGACTGTGGCGTTGGGTAACTCTTCAGTTTATGTCTGAAGATTAGATCCAGAGAAGGTTTGTCAGAAAACAGAGTCTTCATGTCAGAGTTTCAATGTGTACAGAGCAGAACTTTATTGTGGGGCCTTTATTGAATTAGATCTGGAAATACAAACAGATCTGGGCCTGTTTTTGATGAAAGCTTATTTTGATTTTAGAAATGTTCAAAGTTGAAGGAAATAGATTTGGAGAATTCTGAAAACAATGGGCTCAGTTTTCTTTCCAGACCTTCATGTTTCCCCCATGTGCTTGAGCTTTTGATGTCGTCCTACTTGGATATAAGCAGGACAACTTCTCCAGCGTGTGCGTGTGTGTGTATATATATATATATATATATATATATATATATATATATGTACATATATAAATCCTGTTGTTATTATTATTATAATAAGTTGTGAATATGCTTAAAAGTAGGAGGAATGTAGCCAGAAAGTAGTGAGCAAATTAGCTTTGACTGATTTAAAACAAGAAATGTGCGCATTATCATAACTAAATAACAAAAAGGAATTGAAATATTGTGAAGTTTATTTAAAGTCTTTAACACATTTTACACAAAAAATGTAATGAAATTAAATTATTTGATGTAATGTTGATATGAACACCCAAAGATCCTGAAAACACAACATAACAGAAAAAAAGTATGACTCTCCATTCAGCAGCCAGGCTGCTCGGTCCACCCAGCTCCTCTAACGTGTTGTTCCTCAGCTCTGGTCGTCGGTTCTCTGACATATGGAGTAAATTAAGTGAATATGTTGCCATCCACCTGACTAAGCAGTGAGCGCTGTGTTTAAAGGTGTCACTTTTGTTTTCTCTCCAAACATGGTGGTAAAGCTAAGGGGCTACTGTTGCTGGGTGGTTCTCCGTTCCTTCGACTGCTGTTGCTGTTGTAAAGCAATCTGAGGAATGTCTCAGGAAACTTGACACCTATTGTAGAGATGAGTGATTTGAACCGACCAATGTGATCACACCGTGGTCTCTGACGTGGGTTTTCTCGGTGCATGTCCTGTTTTGGGACACATATGGGGAAGTTATTGTAAGTCAAATATATATCAAAAACTAAATGTTGCTACTTCATTGTGACAACCTTAATGAGCCTATTTTGATCTTTATCCTATATATACTAGAAGTTTAGGTTCTGTTAATATTTGTGCTGCTAAACCTTGTGTACAATCATCAGACATCCAGACGTCCGCCTCTGCTTCAAACAAAACCAAAGTAACCAGGTAACCAAAAGTAACTTCAAAAGTAATAAATAAATATTTCTTTTTGCTATTACCTCTGTGACCATTTGTGAACATTAACATCTGTCTCCACTAAGATGAAGCCAAAGCCTCCAGTGAAACCGAAGCCGTCTGTGATCCAGCCTCCGCTCACACGTTGAGCTGGTATGTGACAGTGATATATATATATATATATATACATTAACAATAACTCTACATTAGTGTGTTATTGAACAATCCTAGTCAGTGTTTGGTGGTGATATAAATTCAAGTCCAACTCATCATTCCAAAAATAGTATCCTCACTTTCTTGGAACATCCACTAAAATGAGAAAAAAGTTAAATACTGTTTTCACATTTTCAACCACCACAGGCTGGGTGGAGACAGAGAGCTCAGCAGATAAAAGAAAGAACAGGACTGATGTGTGTTTCCCTCTCTACTGTGGGAGCCACTGCTGCTTTAAATGTATTTTAAGACTTAAGACTATAAAAAAACAACAATTTTTGATTGTTAAAGAAAAGAGAGTGGGAGGATGTGGAGACAGAAGGACTTGGACCAACTGCCTCCACTGTAACAACAATCTAACGACACAGTTTCTAAGCCCTGATAGCTACACAAAGCACTAAATCAATTGTTGGCAGTGTTAATTGGTGGAAGGAGTCAGTGTTCACATGTGTTTAAACCTCCACTGATACGTCAGGGGGTGGCGAGAAATAGACCATAACATCGTGAGTGTCGTCAGCAGGTATAAATCAGAGCGAGGTGAGCTTCTTGGAGCAGGTAAGGTCAATGTACCTGTTGTACAAAGGTCATGACCTGTCTTTATGGGGCATGTTCTGGTTGGTAAAGTAAAAGTCAGAATGATTTGTTTGGCTGCCTGATGGTGGTTCCAGTTTGGGTGTGTCATTTGCAGTCTTCAGAATGCATGGGCGGGCGTCCCAATGATTTTTCACTGTTCTTTTTATATGTGCTCAGCAGCCCACACCGTGATTTGACTAACACATGTCTTAAAATCCATACGTCAATGACATGACATACTGTGGTTACCAGGACTGTGATGAGGTCACGAAGGGATGCCGAGCATTTTATAGTGTTTTATATCATAGGGTATGATATAAAAATAAATTTGTACATGGGGTGTGGTGACGTCACGTAGGAAGACCCTTTCTTTCTGTCTTTCTTTCTCTCTCTGACACACACTGACCCACCCTCCCCCACACCCTCCAAATATACATATACATGAATTGTATATGTGTGTACATATAAATGTAAACATATACGTATATGTATATCTGTGTACATTTATATGTATATGTGTGTACATATAAATGTAAACATATACGTATATGTATATCTGTGTACATTTATATGTATATGTGTGTACATATAAATATATATATATATTGGAGTGTGTGTGGGTGGATGGGTCAGTGTCAGTATTATAAAATGTCCATCTCCCATCACTGTCTTCCCTGAACTCATACCATTGCTCCGTCTCAGGGGTGAGTGTAGCTGAACCCACACAAACAGAGGGACTACATGAAACCTCTTTACATAAAAAAGAAATGTACGGAGATGCTAAAAAGGTTCAAACCACTTGGGAGAACAGGGACTTTCCAGCACTCTCTGTTAATGCCCGGCT